TAGATGAATAAATGCTCTATTGATTGTATACATGATATGCATTTGATCCGTTATTTTATCATTTAGAGATATTTCCAAATTTTAGTAAAGGAAGTTGCATTGTAAATAAAATTCATTTAAGGTTGTTTCAAATGTAGCTACAAATCACTCTTTTCCTTGTTCATTTGGATTTTTTTGCGAAAGATTTTGTGCAATTAACACACTGGTCATCCAAGTGCAAAAGTTTAATCTTTCTTGAAACATAGACGTATATTTGATTTGTGTGTGGTCTTAACGCTATTTTTCTCCTTATATTCTGTATACCAATGACAGGTTAGCATTTGAACCACTGGATTTCTAATTTCTTATTGTCATGGAGGATGTGATGTGTGTGTTACATGCTTGTTCTTAATTTTGTAAACCTCAGGAAATTGTGCCATTGAAGAAGGTTTGTCGTCGGCCTGAGACTGATTACAGGTTGCAGCAACTTCATGCTACAAACGATTCGGCTACCATTGACCAGCAGAAAACCATTTTGGATCAACCTGCAGCCAATGCGCCGAGAGTTGTCAGTGCATCCGCTGAGATAACACAGAAGCAGCACAGCAGCTCGGACATATCTGCAACAGCCCCTGTTTTGCATGGTAATGCTTCCGTAACCACTCAAGCTACATTTCCAGAAGCAAAACATGTAGTTGTTAGTGGGATGAATGCAGGCAACCCTGTTGTTCATCCTAGTGGTGTCGGTGGGCCGTTGGCCACAGGGATTGCTGCCAGTGCCATTTCTGGTGGCTCTGGAGAAAACATTCAGTAGAGAAAGTAGGGAAACTGAACAGGTTTTGTAATTCACTCTCTTTGAACTTTTGTAGGAGCTTCATTTACATATTAATTATTAAAGATCATTTCGGTTCCGTCATCCTTGATTGATCAGCTTTAACTTAATGATCATGGATTTGCTTAGGGTATGTTTCGACAGATACAGATAGAAGGGAAAAAAAATGATCTTCTTTTTCTTTAGGGTTTTTATAGAGACGGAAGTGAAGGGGTGGAATTTTACCCCTCCATTTTCTTTCATTGTAAACACTTTTTGATTCTCCACATCAAGGATGAAGTATGAACACCACTAAATTATCGTATTGAAAAGAATAAACCTCATCCCTCCCCGAGTAGCGAGAACTACCCC